CTCAGTGTTGCCCCCGTACCGGACCGGGGACCGGCAATGGGATCGCAAGCCTCGGTGTTGCTCCCGCGCCTCGCTCAGCCAGTGAGCGGGAGCCGGTCTGTATGTGGGATCCGAACCCTCGGACGGGAGCGCCGCCGCGCTTCCCAAGCGGCGCACTATCCAGTGCGCCACCGGGCTGGCCCGTGATTTACTTATTTTTTTGGCGGCTGGCCAGTAGGAGATCTGAACCCTTGACCTTGGTGTTATTACACCTCATTCTAACCAACTGAATCAACCAGCCAGCCAACATGGACCTTTATAGGATAGTTAACCAACAAGATTATTTCTGAAAATGTCTCTGTTTCTTGAGCCAAAAACAGTATTTGGTATGTGAAAATGCTTACTAAATATTCATCAGCGAGCAAATTAATGACAAATAACAACATTAAAGGGTTACATTCAATTAAGACCAAACAAAAACCAGACAAAACTACTTGATTACATGCTACTTTCAGCAAATCTTAATTTCTCTAAATCCCCACTACCTCTTTATAAAATGAGAATAATTATAGTTCCCAGCTCACTGGGATCATTATAGGATTAAATGAGATAATGTGTGTAAACGAAATTACAAAATGCTACACTTAAACTTTATCACTATAGGTGGAGAGGGGATGCCTAGAGAGAGAGCAGGATTTGTCCCAGGTCACAGATGGCAGCAGAACCAATCAAGTCTTCTGACTCCCAGCCCAGTGCCTTTTCCATAATGCCATGTGGCTGCATCACACAAGTTCTTATCCAGTTAACGTTTAGAAATTCAGAACTCTCAAACTAATCAGGACTTTTATCCAGGAGGGAAAAACTGTGTGAAGGTCCACTTTACACTGTGGACTCCTAACCCATCCTTCATAGGACACAGTCCATTCCGGTGTGCTCCTCCTAGTGTTAAGGGTTAAATCAAGATTTTTCTCAAAGACATAAGAAAAAGTGAAAGTTACGTTCTCAGCTTGCTGCTGATTAACAGACGTAGGGCAAATAGAACCTTTAAGCGTTCGTTCCTGAAGGCTCTGGTTTTCTTTTCCTTCCCAACAGCGACAGCAGGGAAGGGGATGTAAAAAACAACAGGACCAGAATGTAATGAAGGAACAAATCTCACTGGGAGTCAAATACCATTGTTTAAAAAAAAAAAAAAAAAGCACCATGGGCAGAAGCCCAAAAATCAGAGGCTTCCCCCAGTGTTCTTGGAATCCATTTTTTAAGCTGTTAAAAAAACACCCTTAAAATAAACTTGCCATCTTGTGAGGACAGGAAGAAGGTTACCCGTCTTTCCACCACCATCTGCAGGACTAGCTCAGCTTCAAGCTTCTTTCAGCCACACTCCTCCTGCCTCCAGCCTTTTCTTTGTAACAAGTCAGCATGGCGTTGATTGTAGTCTCTTTCCCTAACTTAGCAAAGTTCAGTCGCAATTAAAATTTGAAGGGAGCTGAAGAGAGACTATAGATATAGAGATAATAGTTTGCTTTACAATGCATTTTATTCTTGCAACTTTACATTTTCTAATAACTTCTGACATTGTACTTGGCCCATTTGTGCTTATCAGCTGAGTTCGGATCAAGTCGGTTTAAACCTATACCTGGCATTCAAGCTCAGTCTGTTTCTGGGATCATGGCTCAGACTGTGGCTGGGATTACGGTTCATCCTGTAGCAGTGATTAGGGCATAGTATGTGGTAAACTAAGAGCACGGTCTGTGATTAGCACTAAGGCTCAGTCTGTGCTGGAATCAGTTTTCAGCCAGTGGCAGAGATCATATTTTTTTTGTAGTGAGCACTAGGATTTGTAGCATATAGTATGATAGGGCTCTATTCCAGGAAAGAAAGGACTGAAAAGGCTGGTCAGGAGTCCAAGGAGACCATTAAGGGGCTGTCAGACCAGAGGACTGAGTAGACAGAGAACCAGAGAACCAAGAAGGGGTCAAAAGAGTTGGCAACCCCCACCAAAACAGCTAAAATTAAAAGGACTGACAATACCAAGTGTGTGAGAGGGTGCAGAGCAACTGGAACTTCCTTACATTGCTGGTAGGAGTATAAATTGTACAACTACATTGAACAACTGTTTGAAAGTATATATAACGTTAAATTTATGTATACCCTATGACTCAGCACTTCCAATCCTGGAATGAACGAACAACTGCCGTCCACAACAACGTGGACAAATCTCATGAAATAGTGTTAAGCAAAAGAAACCAGGCACCAAAGAGTGGATATTGTATGATTCCATTCATGTAAAGTTCAAAAACAGGCAAAATTAAACTATGATGATAGAAGTCAGAATAGTGGTTACATTTAGGGAGTGGTATGGTCTGCAGGGGGCATCTCTCTTCCAGAGAGATGGTATGGTCTTATTTTGATCTGGGTCATGATTACACGCATGAACATACATAAAAATTCACCAAGCTGAACGTTTAATATTTGTGCACTTTACCTCAATAAGAAAAAAGAAAGTGGATGAAACAATATAGAATGTGGTTGGCTAAAGACTGGTTGGAGTGTTAATTCCACAGTTATGACTTTTCTGCTCCGGCAATTGTGACATTACTGTCATGGCTTGTTGAGCCTGGGAGATGGCCTGGGGTGTGTTGGGCTTGTGAAGGTGCAGCCCTCGAAGCAACCACACTGGGCAATGACTTAGTGTAAAAAGCCATGGACTTGGAGTCAGAAGTCCTGAGTTTGAATCTCAGCACTCTTCTTAGCATCTAATCCAGTGGGAGGCACTGATGTGTTGTGATCTGTAATGAGGTGAGTTACAAATTATTCTTTGGTAATTATAAATCACTGAAGCTTTTAATAATTTTCTTTTATTTTATTTGAATTCATAACTCATGCCTTTGGTTAAAAACAAATTAAATCTTATAAAAGGGTATACAGTGAAAAATCCATTTTCCTCCCATCCCTGACTCCAAACACTAATCCCCCAGTCTCCCTCTCAAGAGGCAACCACTGTCATCAGCTTCTTGAACATCCTTCCAGAGATAGTCTATGCATATTCATGAATGGTTTTCTTGAAGAAAATCAGAGCAGATTCAAGATATGCCTATAAAAATGTTGCTTGCATACTAAATGCTTTATTTCCAAAATGGATCTAAGTTTTCATTATAAAAATAATACATGCTTATTTTTAAATTGTAAAAGTGAAAGCTCCCATTCCCTACCCTACCACCTTTCACCCCTTAATTACAGAGATTACCACTGTTAACAGTTTCCTATGTGGGCTTTCTGACAACTTTATACATGTGTAAACATACATGTATTAAACAGACATAGTAATAGAATATTACTATAAACAGAAATTTTGCAACATGATTTTTTTTCACCAAGAATATGTCACACCAAGGCCAAGGGTTTGGATCCCTGTACTGGCCAGCCACCAAAACAAACAAACAAAAAGAATATCAGAGACATCTTTCCACATCACATTACATATAGTTCCACTTACCCTTCTAAATGGCTGCATAGCATCAAATACTTTCCAGTGGGAGAGAAAGGGTGAAGTTATGGCAGGAACTATATATGAGAATGTGTCTACCTGAAAGCATCATCTGTCACACATGTCTCAGAAGAAAAAATGTGGGAAGCAGCTGATATAAGCCATCTCAGTCTCAGTTTCTCATCTGCAAAATGGAGACAAAAATGATAGCCCTGAATACCTCACAAGATTTTCATGATTACATAGACAGAATGGATGACAGAGTACTTCAAAAACTGAAAAGTGCTGTGGAATGTAAGAGATTGTTATTCCTGGAGGGAAGAAGGGAGAGGCAGCAGTTCCAGAGTCAAAAGTCTTAACAACCAGCAGTAATGATAATTGCTTCTCCTGCCCTCCTTAGCCAAATGAACGACTCATCTTTGCATAATAATTGTGAACGTTGGTGGGGTTCTTACTTTGCCAGGCATTCTTCTAAGAGATATATATCTTATATATACATACATACGTATGTATTCATTTAATCCCTCTAACAACTCTGTGAGATAGGTACTGTTATTATCCTTATTTGACTGATGAGGCAACTAAGACTGACACAGCTGGAAAGTGGCAGTCTTATTTCTGAACCACACCAAACTATGTGCTATTTAGTTTGGAGATTTTTCCGTGCTTCGACTATGTGGTTGGGCTGTGACTTAAAGAGGCAGCTGTAGAGTACGCATTGAAGGAAAAAATGGCTCATTCCACTGGCACTAGAAAATAAAAAGCAACCAATGATAAAAAACGTGAGTCTCGTAGGTTGTCGCACCGCTATTGCTTTGAGACCCTTCATGGCTCCCCTCTATTAAATAAAAGCCAAGATCATCAGCCTGGTGTTCCAGGACTTCCTTAGCCTGGCCAGTCTTTCTAGGGCTTTGTCTTACATGAGGGTACTTCAAAAAGTTCATAGAAAAAAAGAATTAAAAGATAATACAAATCTTTCCATAACTTTTTTGAAGTACCTTGTGTACTATAGGAACTTCTAAAGCCATCTTTTCTATTCTTTCACACCCGTCATACAGGGAGCCTGTTTGGGTTGAATTTTGTCCCCTAAAAAAAGATATGTTGAAGTTCAAACCCCCAGTATCTCAGAATGTGATCTATTTGGAAATAGGGTCATCACAGATGTAATTAGTTAAAATGTAGTCATACTGGAGTAAGAGTGGGCCTCTAATCTAATATGACTAGTGTTCTTATAAGAAGACCATATGAAAACAGAGACAGACAAGGAGAACACTACGTGGACTTACTTAGCTGCAAGCCAAGGAATGCCAAAAAGTGCCAGCAAAACACCACTAGGAAGAGACAAGGAAGGATTACCCTACAGATTTCAGAGGGAGCATGGCCCTGTCTACATCTTGATTTTTGGACTTCCAGCCTACAGAAATGTGAGACAATACATTTCTGCTATTTTAAGCCACCCAATTTGTAGTACTTTGTTATGGCAACCCTAGGAAACTCATACAGATCCTCAGCCTTCTGACCCCAACACCACAGATCTGAGCCCAAGGTGCATGGGGTGGGGGGTGGGGTCTTCTTTCTCTTGTCCCATTCCTGTTCTCTTAACAGGCAGTGGCATCCTAGGCCATTTGCTTGCACAACACGCAATCACACCCATGACTTTCCCCCGTCTCTTATGGCAAGCAGCACACCATTAGTCTGTTTACTTCCCAACATGCCCCGCACGGGGTTGGTCAGGTCCCCTGCCCTCTGCCTCTTCCTGGCTCAGGGCCAGCCCAGCCCCTCTGGGGAGACAGCAGATTGAAGCCCCCTTCCGGGTTGCCTAGGAGACATCTGAGTGCCCTGGAGCCAAGCAGCAGTGGCTGAAGGGAATAGAGAGGCCAAGGAAGCTAGGGGTCAGGGAGGAGGATAAGGGAAAGACCCAAGGATGTCATTAAAAGTGGCTTTAGTACAAATGCAAAAGGTAAAAATTAAAACCGCAGCTCAGCATAACCAGCATAATAAAACAATATGTGAGACTTGAGATGGAGAGGGAAAGATTTTCTTCAGGGAATTCTATACAGAGCTCAGCTCTGTGGATCTTTGAGTCCAAATCCCATTCAAACCTATGCTTTGAGGCCTTTTGACAGCAAGAGATCAAAAGATGACAAAATTCAGGCAAATGAGGACTGACTTTTGCACAGCAAGGGCAAATCTTCAATAAACTACTGTAAAGTGCACAGTGAGTGAAAGGAAGATGCTTATAATTTGGGGGTTCACAATAAGCAATGTCTGCTGTTTGTAGGGAAACATGCTGGGTGCTGTGTAGGTAGGGTAGGGGTACAGAGAGGAACATGATGTTATACTTGCCTTCAAGGAGTGCATAGTCCTTCCTTAGCTCCAATTGTTACCTCAGGAATGGGCTTCTAAAATAGCACACTGGAATGCTCTGGGGCAATTCTTCTCAGTTCAGGAGTTGGGTAGGGCTTCAGAGAGGCATGGGACTCAGTTCCTAAGTCGATCAATCAACTTATCACATTGCCCTGACCACAGATCAGTACAGGGGTGGGCATATACCTAATCTTAGCCAATGAAGAGTAGTGAGACTTTTGCTAGGTTTGCTGAGAGGAATGCAGGCTCTCTCTTCTGTGCCAGGAGCTGCCATCACTATCTTGCCACCACATGGAGTCTGGTATGAAGCCAACATGGTGGTGTACATAGCTGAGAGATGAAGGAAGATTGGAAGCTGATGAAATCCTTAGAGCCTTGAATCAGGCCATGCCAGATCCATCCCAGAATTTGGATTATACGAGCCAATAAATTCTGTTACTTCCAATTCAAAAGGTTCAGTAAAAGATACATTAGAAACTCTTTTAACTGATTAACCAGATTAACCAATGTTCTCCATTCCCTGTGTAAAATATACTAACTTATGCCATGTGCACTGAACACTCACTGCCAGTAGACTACTTTCTGGTACTTACTGAGCCCATTATTTGAGAGGTCTGTCCCCAAATCTGCTTATGTTAGTTGTGCATATGTACAAGACGAAAGATAGTTCCTGGTTCTATGAAAACTAAGTTAAATGCTTTTGAAAGGCTTGAAAAAAAATGAGTATTTCAGAACTGCTTTTGGGTTAGATATGGATAAATACTCATTAAAAATGAAACAATAAAAACATGGATAAATTTTACATTTGGTTTTGGAAGCGTCTTTGGTTCTTTCTCCCCTGTAAAGAAACCAATGCTGGAAATAGTGGATGATGCATATTGGGTGAGAAAGAGACCATCAGCTATCTCATTAGAAGGCTTGAAGCTTCCACCCAGGACACCTGGAATACTTGTTCTGTGGGAAGCCAGGTACTATGCAAGAAGTCTATCTATCCTGCATCTGCTATTAGGCTTAGGAAGCCCAAGACAGATGCATGGAGAGAGAGATGCCCCACTAACCTCCAGCTCTTCCAGCCAACCCAGCTGAAATGCCAAACAAGTGAGTGTAGAAACCATCTGTTTTAGTCTGTTTTGTGTTGCTATAACAGAATACCTGAGACTGGGTAATTTATAAGGAAAAGAGGTTTATTTGGCTTACGATTCTGGGACAGCTGCATCTGGCACAGGCCTTAGGCTGCTTCTACTCATGGTGGAAAGTGGCAGGCAGCCAGTGGGTACAAGCAGATCACATGGCAAGAGGTAGCAAGAGAGAGAGAGAGAGCAAGAGAGAGAGAGGAGGTGCCAGGATCTTTTAAACAACCAGCTCTCATGGGAACTAATAGAGTGAGAACTCACTCATTTATCCCCCCTTCCCCAGGGAGAGCATTAATCCATTCATGAGGGATCTGCCCCAATGACTCAATCAGTTTCCAACACTGCCACATTGGGGATCAAAATTCCACATGAGTTTTGGAGAGGACAACACATCCAAACTCCATCACCATCTTGGATGTCTATTCCAGTTGAGCTTTCTGATTAGTCCACCCCTAGCCACCATCTTACTGCAACCTTATCAGAGATACCAAGTGAGAGCCACCCAACTGAGCCTAGTCTACCCACAGAACCATGAGAATAATAAAAAATTATTGTTTTAAGCCACTAAATATCAGAGTGGGTTTGTTATACAGCAACGGATAACTAGTCTTTTGTAGATGAAAGGAAAGAGTTACAAGAAACGGGTGGTGGCCTCTGATGTCAAATACCATGAAGAGATCATGGAGGATGAGAAATGAGAAAAGGCCATTGTGTTTAGCAATTGAGAAGTCACCATTGTCTTTTAAGCATGCAGTTTCAGTAGAATGGTGCCGAGCACAGGCAAATTGGAAGTTTTTGCAGAGTGAGTGAACGGCGGGAAATAGATACAACAGTAGATTGGTCTTTTTTCTTTCTTTTTAAATCGTTTAACATTCACTGATGATACTTGCCTGAATCAATTATCTCATTGGAGATTGTGAAATGTTGATATTTCTAATTCTATCAATGCTTCTACATTTATTAGCTGACATTCTTCTGTAAAGAAGAGTTTCTCCTCATCAATTGGGGATGAACCTAATTTCTTCCTAAAATGACAGGTTAAATGCTTCATTCTTTCTCTTTAATTACCAGTTTCCTGACAAAGGAGTTGGTATCATAGTATTTCCAATGATGGCAAGTGAATTTTTCCCTCCTTTTTCTCTCTTTTTGAGTATCATTATGGACTAATGTATCACATTTATTTAATGTATTACAATCAATTACAGATTCAATTAGTCTTTAAAGAAGCAATGGAGAATAGGGCTAAAGATGTAAGTGGAGGATAGGGCTAAGGATGTGACCGGAAAATTCCTAGAAGAATACAGTGGTTAAAGAAATGCACACATACATGTTTATCCTTACCAGGAATCGAAAAATGAAAATCAAAACTACATAAAAGAGGAAAAAGCTCTAAAATATCCAATTCTGCAACTGTACATATAATCCAAAGAAATTCTCATACAGGTCCTATAAGGGGCATGTATGAAGATATTCACGGCAGTGCTGTTTTTGGTTGTGGAGAGTTGGAGGCAATTTGGGTGTCCGTAATTGAAGAAGTCCTTAGGCAAAATGTGATGGAGGAGTATTATTCAACAGTTAGAAGAAAGGGAACAGATCTTAAAAACACGTTGCTGCAAGGAAGAAAAATAGGAATAAATATATATCTTACAACATTATTTACATAAGAAAA